TAGTTATGGAATAAATATAAATTGTATGAACTTAAATTTTTTTTATTTAAAACGTAACAAACATCAGTCAGTCAAATATCTGACTATTTCAAATAATTATCATGCAGGAATCACAACTTCTTTAAACTCACATTATTCCTGACAAATCAAATAATAAACAATTTCAGTGTAAACATGAAAAAAAGAATTAAAATGTATAAAACATATTACATGAGAAAATCAGATCCGAAAGCAGAACCTTAAATGTCAAAAAACTGAAGTCTGAACATAAAAGCAGTGCCAGAATGAAAACTGAACCAGGTTCATAAACATCTGATCTATATTTAGAACCTGCTACACTTGATAAGTATTAACTGTAATGATTATAGTTACATTCTTGAAAAGAAAGCTTCCAAAAGTTTTTTTTTTTTACACTGATGCCACAGAACAACCATTTTGTTTCACCAAGGAACTTTTGTGGAATAGTAAGGTTCAATGGATGTTAAAGGTTCTTCTTGTTTAGTATGATTTAATGTTCTGTGTGACTCAAACGTGCAGCACATTTCTGATTTTCACACACAACATTGGCTTCATCGGCTTGTGTTGTATTTACACTTTACACCGATTTATTATGTGTGTGTGTGTGTGCGGTATCACTCTCTTGTGTTCCTCCCTCTTTATCTCTCTCACACATACACACACAGTTAGTCAGTTAGAGCAGCTGAACAAACCGCTGAACTAGAAACACTCGAGATGCACACACCACGAACACTTCATAAGAGAGCGAGAGTGTATGTGTGTGTGTGCGTATGTGTGGTACATGAGTGTGTGTGTGTGCGTGTGTGTGAGTGTGCATGTGAGAGTGTGTGCATGTGTGTGAGTGTGAGTCTGTGTGGTTCAGGTATACCCTACGTTATGGGGATAAAATGTCCCCTCAAAGATGGCAATATCCAAAATCCCTGTCCTTGTGTGGACATTGTTTGGTCCCCATGAGCAAAACAGCTTGCAAATCATACAGAATGATCTTTTTTGAAAAACTAAAAATGCAGAAAGCTTTGTGTGATGGAACAAACTGTACAAACTGTATTTGTGAAAATACAGTTTGTACAGTATAAAAACCATTATGCCTATGGAATGTCCCCACAAAACATGGAAACCCAACATGTTGTGTGTGTGTGTGTGTGTGTTTGTTCTGTTGAATAGAACACTGTTGAATGTGCTCATGCTCAATTGAATCAGTGCTGCTGTTTTTTCCCTCAGGTGCTTTGTTCAGACTCATTCATCAACAATCTGCTGTTCTTGTGTTTTCAGCAATGTCGACGACGTATGATCCTCAGTACTGTTACATCCTGGACGCATTTCTGCTCCTGTATTGCATCATCATCACTGCCTTCTTCATGCGCGAGCGAGTGAGAGACGTATGATCCTCAGTACTGTTACATCCTGGACGCATTTCTGCTGCTGTATTGCATCATCATCACTGCCTTCTTCATGCGCGAGCGAGTGAGAGTCTACCCCTCACAGGAAACTTTCTGCATTTTCAAAAAACTTAATTCTGTATGATTTATAAGCTTTTGTACCCGTGGGGACCACAATTTAGGTCCCCAACGTGACACGAGTCCCCATGTGTCTGTGTGTAGTCAGGTTTAAGTCCCCACCAGGATATATAAACCAGTACACACACACACACACACACACACGGACACTGAGCTGCGGCCCAGTTCATACACTCTTGCACCTTTATTACTGTTATATGACAGAAATAGTGTAAACTGTATTCTAGTCTGTGATTCTGAAATATGATGTTGGACCATGCACTCAACAGTCACAGTTTTAATTACGTAGATGAGAGATACCAGACTGACTACAGAGTGAAAATAACCTAAAACTCATAGTGATGGTAGATTACCTACAAACTATAGTCTGTTACTGTTTGCAAATTACGTGTTAGCAATGTAATCTGTTACATTACACATTTTAGGTAAATAGTCACACTACTTTTTGATTACTTTGATCCTAATTTATTTATCACATTGATTTGAATAGGATAATCTTGTACCATATTGATAATAAAATACTAATAGTAAAATCTCAAAGTGGGGTTCATAAGTTGATGAATAGCTAAAAATTTTAAATGTAATAAAAATTTAAATCATAAAAATATAAAAGGAAAATAAATAAAAACAAATAAAAATAAAATAATTTTATTTGATTAGGTGCATGTCATATGACCATTAACCCACAGATATGCACATAAAAAAATATTGACTTAGCTACTATAACCGAAAATGACAAAAAAACAAAAAACAACAACAAAAATAAAAACAACAAAGGTGAATTACATGTAAATATAAAACTATGAAAATGTACTGTTCATTAATGAAGCTTCTTTCTTCAGTACATCAAGAAGAAAAGCATAGTGGAGCAAGACTCTTTGTATCAGGTGAGAATCAGATACGTGATCAATGAGCCAACGATCACGATATTAAAGATGTTAACGGAGCGTTTGATGTTTTCCAGCCAATTAACAAGAGTGGCCAGTCGACGTACGACATACTGACGCAGCGATCGACTGAAGAAGGTCGATCTGGAGGGGTGAGTGATGACAACTTTACACACATCACATCACATCACATGACGGACAGGAGCAGCCTGTGATCTACATGTCTGTGTTTCACAGGGACGCAAGCGAGGAGATGACAGCACTTACACGGTAAGAGCTTCTTCATCACAGGAAGGAAGTTTTTTAGCAGCGCGTTGAGAAGAATAATCCATCTGAAGCGTGTCAGTGACCACAGAGGCACCTGCGGCACTTTCCACCGATGATGAGATGCAAAACCACCATCAGAAACCCCATCAGATCAACCTGCAGAAACTCAAACTGAACATTACAGGAGCCGCTTTAGCTCAAACGCTTAAAAATAAAGGGTCTTCATTGACATAAATGGATGCATGAAGAGCTTAGAGCTATTAACATCCATCACTTTTAAAAATAAAAGTTTTCACCGGATGTAATAAAAGAACCATTTGTGGTTCCCCAAAGAACCTTTCAGTAATCAGTTCTTAATACTACTAAGAACTAAGAACTTTTTTTTCTTAGCGTGAGGACCATTTGAATAATCTAGCTGGAAAGATTCCACAGATGTTAAAAGGTTCTTCATGGAACCATAAATGCCAATAAAGAACCTTTATTTTTAAGTGCGATGGAAGCTTTCAATTGACAAAAGATTCTTTAGACTATTAAAATGTCCTTTACACTAAGAAAAAAAGAGTTCTTTTAATACTTGATCACTGAAAGGTTCTTCGAGGAATCAAAAAGTTCTTCTGTTGCATCACTGAAAAGCTTTATTTTTAAGAGTGTATGACGTCCTTCAGATGTTATAGGCCAGGGGTGCCCAAACTCGGTCCTGGAGGGCCGATGTCCTGCAGATTTTAGATCCAACTCCAATTAGGCACACCTGAACCAGCTAATCAAGCTCTTACTGGGCATACTATAAACTTCCCGGCAGGTGTGTTGAGGCAAGTTGGAGCTAAACTCTGCAGGACACCAGCCCTCCAGGACCGAGTTTGGGCACCCCTGTTATAGGCTATATATATATATATATATAAACTTGGCAGCTAGTTTATAATGATGGAAAGGGTTTTCAAAAATCAAACAAAACATTTTCATGTTTTACTGAAATAACCGAACAAATGATTTAATGCATTTCTTACACAAAACTGTGATGACGATAATGATTATGGTTATGCTGGTTTATTTCAGCCTCTGCAGAAAAAGACGGACGACACGTACCGTGAGATTGAAATGAAGGCAGGCGTAAGTGTGACTGATTCAGTCTTATTTCATATCAATTCATCTGAATGATTCGACAAAAGACTCAAACTGATCTTGTGATTTTCCTCCAGCGCCGCCGTCCTGATCAGGTTTATCAGGTCAGACATATTTAATATCACAACTAAACATCAGATCACTGTCAAATAAAAGTCACTTCATTTGGTTTAATGTGTTTGTGTTTCAGGGTTTGAGCTCCATGACTAAAGACACGTATGATTCTCTGAACAAGCAGCCGATTCGTCCGCCGCCACGTTAAATGCTGATTCTCCACAAATCGGCCGTCAGGATCACAGTCCAGTGCAGATTCAGCCACTTAACTCATTCATTCACTCTGTCTGTGATTTCAGTCCAGTAGTTTTTTTCCCCTACAGACTCCAGTGTTTATTCGGTGTTTTTACAGTGACTGTGTTTATCGTTTCTCCACTTTGTGAATTAGGCTATAGACTTTCATAATGAACCCAAAATTTAAACGGCACACATGTAAAGTAAAAATCATTATAAAACCAAACCTGATTGAAGACCAAACGTTTAAACATTGTGAGATTCAACTAATGATTCTATTCAAATAATAATGCTATTTGGTAACACTTTACAATAAGGGTTCATTCGTTAACAAACAATGAAAAATAAATCTAAAATATTTATTGATCTTAATGTTGATCTCAGGATTTACTAATACATTTTAAGATAAAAAGTTGATGAACATAATTAGTTAATGAACTGTAAACTAACATGACAAATGTTATTATCATTAACAAAGGTTAATGTTGTAAAATATGTATCACTCATTGTAAATGTTAGTTAATGCATTAATAATGTTGATAAATGAGACCTTATTGTAAAGTATTACCTTAATGTTCTGTATGATTTAAAAATGCCTTTTCTTGTGATTTTGTGGTGAAATATGAGCTGCAGGTTTAACAAGATTCACGTTGATTGATGATCAGTATCTCTCACATGTTATCATGAGTGTTTTTTTTCAAGTACTTTATAATAGTGTAATATTACATGTAATCTGTTTAAAACTGAAAATTTCACTGCATTTCATTTGGTTGTTACTTTTGTCTGTTCTGTGTAATTTTGTATTAGCTTGTTAAAGTGATTTTTCTCTTTTTCAGTAAATAATCAGTTTAGAAACTTGATTTGACTGTTGATCAAAACACACGGAGATCATACAGATAAACAGTCTGAGAAAAAAAAAACATTTAATGAAATCTACAACTGCAGCAACAGCAACATGACAAACTCATCATCTGATAATGAACAGCAAAGAAAAATACAGACAAAAGCACAAATCCAGAAAGGTTCATTTCTACGGCAAACAGCAACAACTGAACTGTGAGAGTTGATTAATCGACGAACACCTGTAGAGGAACGAGAGTGTGTGTAAGAGAGTGTGTCTGTTTGCGCTTGTGTGTGTGTGTGTGTGTGTGTGTGAACAGACCTTCTGTATCAAACACATTCTGTAAAGAATCTCACACACAGTCTGAAATTACAATCATCTCTCAGAAGCGGCTCATGAGAATGACACGAGACACTCATGAGACGATTTATCTCATGATTCATATTCCACCAGAAAATCAATCTCTGGATAAAAAAAAAAGTCTACAATGTGTTCATGATTTAAAATTAACTATACATTTAAAAAAAGAAAAAAAATCAAGGGAAAGGCAAAGAGAAAATGAAAAATCTTTGGTTTTCACGCTTAAGTATATTTTTGCTTTGGGAGCCACAAAAATAAAACTAATTTTCATATATTTATATATAATCCTTGTATTTAGTGTGTTTTTTGACTAAGGATGAAAAGAAACAGAGGGGCAGCACAAAGCTGATGGTTCTTTGGTTTTCATCCACATTTTCATTCCTGCACAAAATAATAAAGCCAACAAACATGAAAGTAAAGCGCAGCAGCTCGCACACAATCACTGATATACAGAATATAATAATCTATACAGCAAGAGACAAAAACGGAAATGCCAGTGATATTAACAGATCAATGCTGCCTCCTCGTTTCAATATTTTCATGTGTATAAATAAAGAAAATGATCAGAGGAAAGAAGCTGAAAGGGTTCAAACTACATGTGCTGATATTTTCATCTTTATGTTTCTCACACAGACTGTTGGAAATTGCCGCTGATTCACAGAATCAATGTTCAAACAAACATGTGACAGCAGAGTTCATTTGCATCTCTCACAGGATCAGCGCTCGCTGTGATGGATTATTACTATTTTAAAGCCTTCTAACCATATTTATAAAGTGATGTCGAGTTAGAATACTAGTTTAAAAATTCACTGATAGAACCCTCCACCCAGCGCTGTAGTACCTTGCAACATAAAAGTTCTGAAATGCTTTTGATTATAAATCTGAAATCATCTACAATCGGCCTGTTTCGCAGAGCTGCAAATAAAAACAGAAACCCTTGTAGAAAGTCAATATAAACTCTTATGTGAAATAATCTCTCATGAAGAATCAGTCAGTCATTAGTTTAATAAATAGATTGAAAAATAAAGTTCAATCCTGACCGTTTCCTCGAACATCAAACAAGGACATTCAGTTGCAGGAAGTACTACACGCATCAGAAGTGTTTTTGGTAATAGCACAGGATTGGACGGAGGCGTATGCGCTCACTGCGCCTTCGAGGCCAAGGCGATGCTCTTGGTTGTCATGGCAACAGTACTCTGCTGCATGTCACTGGCCAGCTGCAGATTGAGAGCTCCGCCTCCAGCCCCGCCTGCTGACAGCAGATTGGCTGGTAGTAGAGAGAGGCTGGACGGGTTGAGGAAGAGGGGAGTGGTCACCAGACTGGGGGCAGTGCTTCCTGAACTGGTGTTGGCGAATAGCAGGCCGGTGTTTCCATCGAAGGAGGTCAGAGGCAGAGCGCCTCCCGTTGCCAGAGCTGACGAAAAAACACATTGAATATATTTATACAGCACATTAATTCTGTCACTAACAATAATTTTGGTAATGGAGTCATCGGTCGATTATTCTGACGATTAATCGAGTAATCGGATATTTTTTTGTGGTAATATACATAGACCTTAGCGAACAATAGACTTAAAAATGACTTAAAATATATATATATATATATAATAGCAATGAGGAAATCATAATTGGTTCAAAAACAAGTAATCAGATGGTTCTATTGAACAAAACCATTAAAATACAAAGTAATAAAACAAAATAATTATAACTTTATGTACTGTATTATATAAAATGCCTGCAGAGGGCCAACGGCCTGATGATTATTTTTCCACTTTACAGCGTGATCTAATCCTTGTTTAATATTGACCAAACAACATTTAATTCAGAAGTCCACTTAATCTTTAATATTTGGCTACTTCTTTCTGATATAAATGCTACAGCCACTGTCATTTCTTGAACAAGAACATGTGGACATCAAAACAAGCAAACGCAGAGCGAGGGTTTAAACTTTAATTTTTAAGTTATTTTATTTTGAACATATTTACAAAGATAATGATGTATTCTCCTGTGTTGGCATAGGTTTATAAATGATTTACCTTATAAATCTGATAGAATGGTGCACATTTTTCCCAGATGAACTTCATAAGCAACTCAAAAGTCAGCATAAGCAAAGATGGAGTTTGAGACCGTCCGCGCGTGTAAATGATAACTGTTTGTGTGGTCCAGCATCTGTTGTGAATGGAGCCACTCTGAGATTCACGTAACCTACATGCATATAAATAAAGTGCATATTAAACCCCATATTTATTTAACTGAAACACAGCTTTTGTGAATTCACACTAGCATTATGCTTTATTATGATTTTTAATAATCATATGATTATTCTAATATGATTAGGTCTAATAATGCTTTTCATGGATTCTCGTCTGTGGAATGCACCACTTCCAGTATTTTGCCGGTTAATCGACACAGGCAAAATGCAATCGAGGATTTTTTATAATGGAGTACTCAAATCATGACAGCCCTACAGCGTATTGTTTCATAGCAGCTTTACAGAAAATCATGATGTTAATGTTTATAATATCTTAATTTCATCATGCCTTGCAGTCACATTTTTTAGATTTGAGATGAACAATAATATAGTTACCCTGGATGGTGGCCAGTGCATTGTTGTTCATCAGTGCAGGACCAAAAGCGTTTCCCGGAGCAGGAGCCAAACTCAACAGCGCCCCACTGCACAAAACACAAGCAGAAATAATCAACTCTGTAAAGTCACCACATCACTAACACACATGTCCTGATCAGACATGTCAATCATCTCTGTGCAGCAGCGTTTACAACCAATGAGATTTAACTGTGGGAGACCTTCTCAGCATCGTCATGTGACCAACAAAACCTCTGATTAATATGAAAGAAAAGCTTTCATGATGTCTGGGTCACATGCTATACCCCAAAATAAAAAAATAAAAAATAAAATTTATATTTGGCATTTTCAGTAAAAAAAAAAACATACAGTAAACTTATTTAAATAAGCATAAATTACAAGTCATGAGAATTTGGGGTTAAAGTGCTTAAAACATTTAGATTATTGTTTTGTATTACAAGTTTTCTGAAGTGTTATGTTTAAATATGCAAATGAGGCATTATCTAATTAGTTATGCAATAATTTGCATACATTTCCAGCACATAACTCTGAACATTGTATAAAGCCAGGTTCATAATTCTGGTTTGATTTTGCTGACATATTAGAGTTAAAGGTTTTTCCAGAGGGGATTTTGGAAAAATTCTGGTTCACTCCATAAACCAGAAAATACTGTCAACAGACAGAAAACAAATACTGTTTTGGCCTTTTCTCCAGGGCGCGGAAGCATGGAGTGGGTTTGTATTTTGTCACTTACTTCATTCAACATGCGTTCCTTTTACTGTTCTTATTTATTTTATTCAATAATTGATCAACAAAACAATGATTAAAATTGAGATGCAAATTATACAAAATGAAATTCATAAAAAAAAATTACTTTCCACAAATCAAAACGTATGAAGTAGTCAAAAATTGTGTCTGACCCGCTCCATTTCTCCTGGCGTATTGCCGTACAATTCATTACCACGCCCTTTATGACATTTACAAATTACAAATTTTCTTTCAGAATTAACAGATTAAATAAAACAAAACAAAACACTGGTTATGAACGTAACTGTGGTTCTATGACTAAGTGGAAGACCACCAGAGGCAGTGCTAAAAGCACTAGTGGAAAACTTCCCACACTCAAGCTTGACCGAAAATCGAATTACAAAGTTGTCACCTCGTGACGTGCCTTGAACTATAATTACCCCTTAGCACATCACCTCAATCTCTTAAGCCCCGTTCACACTACAAGCGTCACGCAACAACAAAGCGACACAATTCCATTAATTTCAATGGAGAGCTGGCGATTTCCGGCGACACCGAGGGGCAGCGACCGTTGGTGACCGGATGGGGCGTGTCCAGCGATGCGACAAAGTTCAGAATCCTTCAACTTTATGCAAATGAAGAGTGACTTTCGGGAGTGACAGCCAATAGGAAAGAAGACAGTAGAGCTCATGTGATCGTTCTCCTCTCAACCGTAGATAAACATACGCAATGGAAGTAGGCAGGCTCTGTTTCTCATTCATTTTTGTTTGTATGTACGGATTTAATTTAGATTTAGATTATATTTAGTCTTTTGCCTCCAAAATGTTTATACTTAGCAGCAAGAAACCTGATTCGCTGTCAAGGCAACCAGTATTGAGAACGCCCACTAGCAACCTCATCGCCAGCCCCTGGCGACATGCAGCGACAAAAGTCACTGCTAGTGTGAATGCAGCTTTAGGTCATTCTCGCAATACCGAGTGACCAGAGACTTTCAGCACTGCCTCTGGCGGCCTTCCACTTAGTCATAGAACCACAGTTACGTTCGTAACCAGCGTTCTATTTCCTTTCGCTTCAGACCGCCAGAGGCAGTGCTGAAAGCACTAGTGGAAGACGAATACCTACACAGTCACGAGGGATCCCCCTGCGAAGCATCCGGGCAGGCAGAAAGCACTGCAGCACACACTGCTGGCAAGGGAGTCACATTCAATCTGTAAAAACGTGAAAATGTACATGATGAAGGCCAGGTTGCTGCTGCACAAATTTCAGAGAGCAACACCCCTTTGAACGCTGCCCAAGATGTTGCCAAGGCACGTGTAGAGTGACAATGAATAGATGAGGTAGCAGTCTTTCTGTAACTGTATAAAACTGTGTACGGTACCCTCTCGAAAGGGTAGTCAAGAGTCACTGATTTGTTGTTATTGATCTCCAATGATTCAATTGACTCTCCGTGAAACAGCCCACTGTCGACATGCGAGCATCAACGCTCCCACAAACGCTTTCCTGTAGAGGTGGGGGGCGACGTTGGGGACCTGGGGGTCGGATGTGAGACTGATCTTTGTGTATTTGTCTTGTATCGGACACAAGCGTTTTTGGATGAGCCAGCACTGGAATGGCCTGAGCCACAATAACCCGAGTGGTACTACTGCTGTTGCTGCTGTGAGCTTCCCCAAGAGTCTCAAGAGAGCCACATAGCGCTGTGTGTGACCCACCCGAAGCCTCTTTATAGCTCTCAGAATTTACCCTATTCTTTCTGAAGTCGGGCAAGCAGACATTGTTACAGAGTTTAGAGCAAGGTTTATGTAACTGGCTGACTGCGCTGGAACAAGCTTGCATTTGTCCCAGTTCACAGTGATCCCCAAAGCTGTGATGTGTTCCAGCAGGTGATCTATTACCTAGTGGGGTAATGCTGCACAGACAAGCCAGTCATCCAGGTACGGTAACACTCTCATGCCAGTCCTCTGGAGTGGTTCCAATGCTGCCTGGACGAACTTCGAAAAAACTCTTGGTGTCAAAGCCAGGCCAAACGGAAGAACCCTGAACTGAAATATTTGACCCCCTATGGCAAATCGAAGGAACCGCCTGTGCTCTGGTGCAATCCGAATATGAAAATAGGCGTTCTTCAAGTCTATTGTCACGAACCAATCTTGCGGCATGATGGCCTGCAACACATCTGTTGTGCGTAACATTCTGAACGGGAGAAACTTGAAAAACGATTTAAGTTTCTTAAATCCAAGATCTTTCTTTGTAACCAGAAAAGAAATGGAAAAAATCCCCCGGGATGAACTTGGGGATCGATGTGTTCTATGGCACCTTTGCGCAACAACACCTGAACTTCGTGCGCCAGTGCCTGTGCCTGACATGAATCGTGAACTATTGTCTGTCTCACGCCGGTGTGAACAGGAGGTCGACAGCGAAACTGTATACGGTACCCTTTCGAAAGGGTAGTAAAGAGCCACTGATTTGTTGTTATTGATCTCCAATGATTCAATTGACTCTCCGTGAAACAGCCCACTGTTGACATGCGAGCATCAACGCTCCCACAAACGCATTCCTGTAGAGGTGGGGGGCAACGTTGGGGACCTGGGGGTCGGATGTGAGACTGATGTCCACGTGGTTGAGTCCCACCACGTCTGGGAGGTGGAGGAGGTGGTGGTGGAGTAGTCTGAGAGTTCCGAAGGTGGAAATGTTGAGAAGATCTATAAATGTCTTACACCAACACTGTGAAAACGAGCACCAGAGGATGCTAGAGGAGGCCTGGGTCCTGGGGCAGTCCCCACATGACGGGAGCGAGTTTCAGATACTGACACACGTCGATCCAAGGCTTCCTGTGCAGCTGGTCCAAAACTTCGACCAGGTACCAATGGCAATCTCCGTAAATTGTTCCTACATACCTCCGGCAAAGAGGACTGGGCCAACCAAACTTGCCGTCGAGCTTGTACAAGAGTACCTAAGGCTGTTCCACAGTGATTGGCAATAGCATCCATAGTCTGCAATGTAAGTTCAGTTAAGTCTGTCACTAACGGGTCAGATGACGTTTCCCTCAGAGAGGAGTGTAGAGCCACAAGCATGTGCGCCAAAGAATTAGAAACACGGCCAAGGCTCACTGTAGCATTGACAGTAACTCATCAGTGCGCCTACACTCAACATTGGGGCAGCGTACATTCTCACGAAGTGCCTCATCGGGAGATACAATAAGCGCTGCCACACTAGATTCTATAGGTGGCATGCTACCAAGTCCTATTGTATCTGGGTCTTGCATTACAGCCAGTGTGCGGGGTAACTGATCTGGACATGTAGCCTTCGTTGAATTTTGTTATGCAGACAGCAATACAGATGTAAAGTCATTGCACTGAGGCATTGTAAATGATGTTCTCTGTGCCCGACGCAGAAAAATATTCTCAGAACCCACTGCTGGTTGAGGGGGATCTAGATTTATGTGGGCTAGCATAGCTTTTAACGTTCCTTCCAGGGATGCCAGTTTCAAAAAGTGAGTCAGTGGCAGCCACTGACATCACATCCAAATCCTGTCCTGTATGCATCGTTGGTAAGGGTGTCATACATAACTCAGGCTGAACTTTCTCTTGTACATCCGTATTAGGCTGAGCTTTAGCCAGAAGTGGCAATAACAACTCTACTGCAGAAGACAGCTGATCAACTTTGCGTGCTAAATCAGAAGATTTCATTTTCTTACACTTCTTTTCACTTTGAGATGCTTGCTTACACTTACGATCAGCTGTGGTGATATTGGATAAAAGTAGCAAACTATCCGAAGCAGATTCTAGACCGGCCAGACAAGCGTGATGCACGGCGAGTGGCATAATGGAGCATTCCGGGCACGGGTCAGTCAGTGCCTTTCTAAGATGATCCCTACTCAGACAAGCAGGACATTGGCGATGTCCATCCATGATATCCATTACATTGGGGCACGTAGAACATTGAAGTGTATCCATGTTAAATCAATACTCACCGTAAAAGTCGATAAATCCGGAACATGTTATTGATTCATGCCGCGATCATACGCGTATACGCTCTCAGCCGAGGCAGCCAGGGCTTCCGAGTGTATATCGTCACAGAGGCATTCAAACTTGCCGGCATCCAGCAGATTGAAGCCTCTTGCGTGATGCAGTCCATATCTCACGATCGCTGTGCGCCACGAGATGTGTTTAAGTCCAACAATCGGTATACTAAAGCGATGTAATCAAGATGGAACAGCTCGCGATATATATCCTGAAGATCTCTTCAGCAGCAAGCTGCACAAAATATCGTCACGTTCGATTCAACAAGCGAGAATGAGAAAGAGATCGAGGGTACGTGGTAAGGGGTAATTATAGTTCAAGGCACGTCACAACTTTGTCATTCGATTCTCGGTCAAGCTTGAGCGCGGGGAGTTTTCCACTAGTGCTTTCAGCACTGCATCTGGCCATCTGGAGCGAAAGGAAATAGAACAAATAATATTTAAACAAACATAAATCAAAAGTAAATTTTCTTAAATGCCTACAAATACAATTTCACCATATTTTAGGAATAAAATGTTGTCATTCAGTGACAATCAGAGTGAATGATATGAACAAACCCCTCAGTAAAAGTCTTCAGAATATAGAAAGGATTAAAACTCTAATCCTCTATAAAACTCTTTGGTGTAAGAAAGAGAAAAAAAACTCTTTTAAAGATATGGATTTTAATTGAAATCTACAGACACAGATAAAGTGCAATAAAATAAACACTTAAATGTGTAATTTATTTGTTTTTTGTGTGTATGTTCTTGGTTATTTGTGCATGTTTTCTTTCCACTAGTCTGAGCAAAGACTGTTATGGAGCAAAATATCAAATTTGAAAATAGTCACCTTTATTAAAATAGATCAAATGCAAATAGATAAAGTGTAATAAAATTTTATTAAATGAAAAAAAAAAATACTTTAAATAAATACATAAATGCATACATACATGTTGGATTTTTTTCACTAGTCTGAAAGAAGACATGCTATGGAAACAAAATATACCAAAACCTCAAAATCGAGCAGTGCATGAAAAAACACGGGTTTTGCCCATAGTGTCTTGACTTAAGTAAAATATAATTTCTTAATTTTTATCCTTTCGTTTTGGTCTGAAATGTGACATGGGGATGTCTTTCACGAAACCTGTCCACAATACCACACACACTCACCCTTGTGTCAGCTGTGACGGCGTTATGACTGTTGGGTTCAAGCCCGTGACAGCAGTCAGATTAGCACCACCCAGTCCTGTACCTGCCACCAGCAGCTGCCCTGCCCCCTGTGTGGCCGTTGTCGCAGTGGAAACTGGCTGCGCGGCAGCGGCCACTTCCTGCTTTACGGTGGTGGCGGACGGGCTGAGCGAGTGTGACATCACGGCAGGAGCAACCGTGGCCACAGCAGGAGCCATGGAGATGACAGATGGTGGGTTAGATATCACCTGACCCAGAGCTTCACCTACAGCACAGAGAAAGTGTCACATGACTCACAAGTTCACATTAGGAATATTGAGGAAGGAACAGTTGTAATGGCAGGAGGGACGCACCACTGAGTGTGAGGTTTGAGATGCTGCTGTTGTTCAGAGAAACCACAGAATTGACCGTCAGTGTGTTTGTGCCGCTGGACACCTGAACACAACCAATCACTCATCAATAATCAATAAGACAACACTTCACATGCAGAAACACTCGCTGCATCCACAGATTACAGCATCATACACAAAACAGCTGAGTTTGCAGTCGGGCTGTGTGATTTTTCGGACAAAAATTGTGATTCTGATTTAAAACGCGATTAAAAAAACCCCTCCAGGTTTGCTGTGCTTGTCTGAAGGACTGCCCCAAAAAGATGATCAAAATGACATCAAAAGAATAATAATTACTACTACATTTATTATTACTTCACAAGTTCGCCTGCCCATCCAGTCCTGATGGTTAATGATAAACGAATTTGGCTTGCTTTCCTCGACAGAGGCTCGGCTTGAGCTCCAAGTTCAACCCCCCATTGCATGTCGCTGGGATGGTGCAAAGACTGCTGCTTATATAGGCTTGTAATGATGATTGACAGAACTGAATGACTAGGCTCCACCCGAACCTACGTTTGGGACTAATATTACTATTGCATTGTTTAATAGTTTTATTTCTTATTTTGTTTAATGGTTTTATTTAGTAGTAGTAATAATAGTAATCATAACCATAATAAAAGTAGTAGCAATTATTATTACATTGTCATATTAATATTTTTTTTTACAGTGAAATAGTATAATAGTAATATAAATTTTATTTCACTGTAAAATAAAAGTTATATTATCAATGACTACTACATAATTATTATTACTACCTTTATTATGATGATTTTATTATTAAAAAATAAAACTATTAAACAAAATAGGAAAAGTCATTATTGTATTACTTCACTGTAAAATATAAAAATGTCACTATATATCAATGAATAAAATATAAAAATGTCACTATATATCACTATAAAATAATATTTTTTTTAATTTTTATTATGATTATTAATACTAAATAGCATTATTAAATAAAATAAGAAATATTATTATTGCATAAAATGTATGATTATTAAATTTCCTTATTTCTTTTTCTTTTCCTTTTTTTGTCTTGGTTTTATATCACATTTATGATTTTTTTGGGTGGGAGGGTCCTGGGAGGGTTTAAATTGAAACAATTTGTAATCTTTTATTTTTCATTTAATGTATCATTATGTATTGTCTTGTTAAATACCAATAAAAAGATTTTTTTTTAAAGTTTAATAACCATGTGATAATCACAATTAGCCATATGGTGATTTCGTGCAGACCTAATTTGACGCTTTCTGACCCAGATGTTCATCACCATTAAATTACTGTGTTAATTACTGTGAAAAGCAGCAGAATAATGTCAGTAATGACCATGAATGAAGACCGTAAACAGTTTCACATGACTGCAGGATCTGGAGTGACTCTGGTTTATGACATACCGCTGTGGTGGCGCTGCTGTAGATGGTTTTGATGGCTGATCCAGGCGATCCACCACCGCTGCTGGGAGGATTGATCCGCTTCTCCTTCTGTCTGCGGTTACAGAACCAAATGCGTACCACCTCCTTCTCCATGTTGAGCTGATCCGCAATCAGCGTGATCTCCTCTGATGACGGCTTTGGACTCTGCTGCAGATGAGACAGAAAAGCTTAATGTAAACACTTCGTCTCATTAGCGTTCAACACAGATATTAGCTAATTACTATAGTTAACTTTAACTAAAACACAAACCATAAAAAATTAATTACTTGAAATAAAATTAAATGTTAACTGAGATAAAATATACAAAACATTTATCTCAACTAGTTGCCAAGGCAACATTTCTTATTTTAATTTATTTTAAATGTATGTAATAAAATCAAAAACTAAAATGAAAATTAACAACTTGAAAAAATTTCAGAATTTCAATATTTTTGCTTTTGACACTTTTTTTGCAGTTTAAATAAAGACTGCCTGAGAAAAACGTGCTGTCCCGATTCAGTATCTGCGGTCAGATGAGATGTCAGGCTTAATGTCAGTCTCATTATTCTATCGTTATTTTTGTAACTTATGAAATAAAAAGTTTCTCACCTCAGAAAAATGAACTATCCTGTCCTGTCAGACGTTATACTATGCTTGTAGCATGCGCAAATGTGGCGGTGCACGCTGTATATAATTTCACTAAAGCGCAAAAGAAACTATGAGCATGCAATGTGTGAAATAAAAGCAAAGTACCAATAAATCACATAACTGGTACGTTCGTGTGTTAGCTGGGAAGGATTTGCATGAAGGTATGATATTTTTATTATATATATATGTGTGTGTGTGTGTGTGTGTGTGTATA